GTTAATCCAGATATAAGTATAAAGCCTGGAGAAAAAAGTATGCAACTGATGACAAGCAACAGCTATCATAACTCAAAGAATGGAAATTAAGGCAAACGTCATGCAGGGAAGGGATCTAAAATCTGAAAATCCAAATCATCACTTTTCATAGGATCATAATAGGAGAGGACTGAGTTTGCATGGAACAGAAGGGTCACATTAGAGGAATCCTTTAGTCATCTCCCTAACAATATTTAGGAAGCAAGGAAGAAAAGATAAAGATTGGAAAAGGAACAGTAGTTAAAGAGAAAATGGAGGGGAAAAGCATGAGGCAGGAGGAATAGAGTAAGCATTCTATAGGCAGAGTAGTTTTCATTTAGTTAGAGCTGAAAAGATTGAAATTAAAGCCATCAAACGAAAATCTGAAGGACTGATTTCTCACTTTAATAACTTGTTTAGGAAATGAAGATTAGCATCTGGAGTAGCATGACTAACCACACTGGTAATAAAAATCTTATGTTTCATATTTGTAAATTAGAAAATGAAATGTCTTAATCAAGCTGGAAAAAGTGTGGAAGTATAAATTTATTCTCAAGAAATTTCTCTACTCATTGACTTGAATAAACTTTGACTACGTAACTGTCAGTGACATTGATATTAGCCAGCTTCAAAAATGTTCAATGAAGCAGCTGGCCTGATGGCATAGTGATTAAGTTAGTGCGTTATGCTTCCAAGGCCCAGGGTTCGCAGGTTCGGATCCCAGGCGCAGATCAAATCACTGCTTATCAAGCCACGCTGAGGCAGGCGTCCCACATATAAAATAGAGGAAGATGGGCACAGATGTTAGCTCAGGGCCAATCTTCTTCAGCAAAAAGAGGAGGATTGGTGGTGGATGTTAGCTCAGGGCTAATCTTTCTCAAAAAAAAAAAAATGTTCAATGAATAAGAACACAGCATTTTTCACAACATCCTAAGCATCAGTTCTCAAAATTTGGTTCATTCCTGTATATTTGGATCTATGTACACATACGTGCCAATTAGGTTGCTCGTCAAGTCAAAATTGCAATTAACCTCTCATTAAAGTTATAGCAATCTTCTACTTTGAAAGTTATCGAGACAGATACATTAAAATAGACATACGGCTTTTGAGATCCAGATTGACAAAGAGCAATTTGTCACATGATCTTGAAGAACAATCTAGTGACCACCTACGTCAGACTTCCATGTGATATCTATAAAGATGTTCAAATTTCTAGGGCCCAGGTTGGGTCTTTTGAATTCTTATTAGAGGGCCTAGGAAGCAAGCTTTATAGTGGTTATTTCATTGAATCATTACGTCACACATATAAAGTAGGAAGTGCTACACTAAAATCCCCATTTTACAGATGACCTTGTCAAACAGCTAGCTGCAAAGTTACAGAGCTGGGGTTCAATACAAATCTGACTCCACAGTCCAATCGCTAAACCACTACATTATTCTATCCCGCTCTTCATTTGCGTATAGACACAAGACCACTTGTTTCGACAAGATAAAAATGCTATGATAGAAGTGCCTGTGCATGAGTTGAAAGACAAGCATCACAGAAACTTTTTCCTGTCTTTTATCCCTCCTTCATATTCTTGGTGTGTTGAAAATGGAGCCAGGGACAAATCGTGAAAAGTAAAAGGAGCACCTTAGCTTCTTCTCTCATGAACCAATCACCTAACATGCATAAACAAGAGTGAAGCAATGAGAAAAGTGAAAAACACTTGCGAAAAGGAATATATGTTCCCTACGAAATAGTTATGTTAGTCTTTCCTATTAACTAGATAACTGCAGAAATTGTAAATATGTTATTTACTCCTAAGGAGCTCCATTGCCTACATGTCTTGTCCAGATAAGCAAAGTATGTCTATCCAAATACAAGGACATATGGGCCTATTATCAAAGATTCCCTATAACTTATTCAACATGAAAAGGATAATTCAGAATAACAGAAGATGAAGGGAAACTAACAAGCACGTGCTGAGTAAATAATTCAACTACGTTATGAGTAATAACCACGTTATGTACTGACATATTTCACAATAAGAAAAATAAGAACAGAGTTTATTAACAACGTAATATGTACCAGGCATTGCAGTAAACGCCTTCCAAACATCAGCACACTTACGCCTCACGATAATTTTGTGAGCTATGTATGAGTAGTCACAATTTACAGGGGAATAACTAAGAAACTGATAGGTTAAGTAACCCGCCCAAAGTCACACAGCTTTAAACTGCCATAGCTGGGATGGAAACCCAGCTTTATGGACTCAAAAGTTTATCCTATAAAGTAAAAGTGCCTTTAAATTATTGTAACCAGAGATTGTGTTTTGGATTAGTTTGAAAAGGGCTGCACCAGATTCAACATAAGCACACAGGTACAAATGACACACTGGCTGCAAGCCACCTGTGAATGGCCAGTTCATCAATTTCCGCAACTGCAGTCAGAGGATTAGCAAGATCTTGCCCTTCTCATCCCACCGAGTCAGCTGCTGCAGACACCTGCAGGCTACTGGCTCTAGGAGATCTCTTAGTCATATTAACTCATCCTAAGAAGCCCCAGAGCAGGTATCATGATAAGCCCTTTTCCTGGTACCATGCTGCTTCATGTTAATCTCTAGGAACTTCCTCAGCTACCTGGGGCACAATCTTTTCTCTGGGAATGTCTTCCGTACTTTTTGGCAGAATTCAATTATGAAGGAAAATTCAGAACTTTAATTTAAACCCTCTACTGTAATGTAACTGTATAATCAAATAATTAGTTATAATTAATTATGAACTCTTGCTGTTTCAAATATACTTCTTGGAGAAAAAAATTTAGATGATTCAACTCATGTTAAAGCTATCTTTCAAAAATAAAACCCAGATTTTTCAGCTATAAAGTGGTTGGAATCTTAAAAATGTAAAAAGTGATTAGCAATGCTAATCCTTAGTTATTTTCATTGGGAAAAATTAGACAACAAAGTGCCGTACTATCAGTTAATCAAAGAAGAGCAAGAATATCCAGGCTCTGTGTCCCCAGAAAGACATCTGACTGTAGTGATTGCTTTGAGCAGAGTGAAGGGAAAATCTATCTTAATGATGTGATTGTATTTTATTTATACTATTCTAACTTCCTACCTTTGCAGTTTTCCATTTTGGAGGTTAGAGGTACGTAAAATATAAAGAAATCATTAGGATAGGTTTTCCCTTCACTGTCTGCGCAAATCAATCACTTAGGAGAATGAGATTGCAGTAAAGAAAGACTTATGACATCTTCCAGTGAATTGATACAGAATCTGATCCTAGGCTACACAACACAACCTTTGGATCTCAGATCAAGCATGCCTTCTTAGAGAGTCATTCTCTGACCTTCTTGACCAAGTCAAATTCCACTTTCAAGAGCACAGCTCTCTTTTCCAACACCTGCCAAAATTAAAACTTAGCATTTATTTGTTTGATTATTTAATTAATGCCTGATTCACACACTAAATTATAGGCTACTTGAGAACTGCCAAATGCCCAAAACTGCAGAGTACCTGTCACAGAGGAGGCACTCAATGCATGCAGCTAACCGAATGAATGAATGAGTGCAATAACTCAATAGAAAGGACTTCAGGGAAAGTTCAACTACACAGGTTTTACTGCTGTAATTTGTTTTGTTTTTTACTGTTCAATTACCAATTCACTTGCCAAATTATTTTTCAGCCTAGGTCACAGGCACTCTCTTTTCCATACAAAATGTATTGTGGTAACATTTCAATTGAATGTGGGAACTGGTTCTTAAATGGTTCTCAAATTTTATCATTATCATACCTGCAGGATTCAAAATTAATATTTGGCAGGTTGGTTCACTGATTTTTGAAAAATTCATCTTATATTATAGTCTCTCAGTTGTAGAATGTCACTATCTTATTAAATAACTCAACAGGAAGAAACTGAATGTTCTATGATAGGTAGGAAAGGCATAAATTAAACCATTGGAAATATCCAGATGTTTGCTCTCTTGAGAAACACAGAACTAATGATAGAAAATAATAGCAGCTACCATCAACTGATTGCTTACCATGCATCAGGCCCATAAGTTCATTTATTCTGCACAATAATCATATAAAATGGATATCACCCTCCCCCAACATTTTTTAAAGAAGAAACCAAAGACCAAAGAGATATAATATCTAAATTTGGGGTCTACAGGAAGAAAGGAAGGAAGGAAGGAGGGAGGGAGGGAGGGAGGGAAGGAGGGAGGGAAGGAAGCAAGGAAGCAAGGAAGGAAGGGAGGAAGGAAGGAAGGAGAACCTCTAACAGTTTTGAGTAAATAAAGGGCAACATCAAGGAACAGCAAGAAGATAGGATTTTATTCTTGGAAGCTCTGTGGAGCTAAATATTTCCGTGACACTAATAATCATAGCTAACATTAATCTAGCACTGACCATGTTTGAAGCACTTATATACATGATCTCCCACTTAAGCTTGTAAGATAAACATGGCATAAGTACTACTCCAGAAATGCTTATTCTCAATTTATCAACAAAGAAATTGAGACTCAGTGGTCGAGGAACTCGCTCATTTAACACACATCTGTTAAATGACTGAGCCAAGATTCAGATCCAGTTCTAAGCCCATCACTTGAAGTCTTAGCTTCTACACTACATACTGCAGTGAATGGTTCCAACTTCTGCAGTTACAACTTTTGTCCCACCATAGCCAAGGGCCTACCTACTCCTGAATCAATGGTGGTGCTGGTCTGTTTGTTTGTTTTTCTAGAGGATAAGAAGAGAGCATAATGAAAGAGGGGGGAAAGGACACTAGCCTCATTTCATCTCACCTCCTTGCTGTCTAATGAGACCAAGAGAAGAACAACAAAAGAACGTGTAAAGCAAAACAAGACAGTTATCAAAAACAGCACAATTTAGGACACGTCAGGCTCTGAACTCCTATAGGTCAGAGAACATAGCAATTGACATTCAGTTTATTGAGCAGCTATGAGGAACACCTGGAAGGAACAAAGGAGTTAAGTGTTTGAGAATGCTGACTTAATTGAGTGGAATTTACTTCTCTTCAATTAGTTATCTTAGAAAATTCCATGAGATATAGCCCTAAATTTGTAGCATGATTAAACTGTCTATTTTAAGAAATATATTATTCTTCACCAAGGCCTTTTTCCCCTACAAGGTCTTAACTAAAGCAGATTGTCTGGTACTGACAAAAAAAGCACTAGAAACCTGAGTATTCATCCTCGTTCTGGCATTACAAATTGGTCTTGGGTAAGACTTCCCCTCTCTCACCCTCAATTCCTCCCTCAGTAATATGAGAGGATGGGGCAAGCTAACAGTCTCTATAAGAATGTCTCTGAAACATCTATGATTATTCAATGCTTTTCTGGAAAAGTGAGAGCAGAAGGTTAAATCAATAATGGAGAGTATAAAAGGAGTAAAGAGATTTAATTGTTTATACACTAACTTTTCTTCCTTGAAGTATTTTTTAATGCATTTCCAAACAAAAGTATCTAATCAAAGACACAACTAAGGGATATGGGTTCATCATATCACTCACAAGTTAGATCCAGTCTCAGAAATTTTACTTTGGAAAAGTGGTCATCAAATGATCAAGAGCAATGATCTCTATCACATCACACAGATTTAAACCCTAGTTCCACTGCTTCCCCAGGGATGTGGTTAAGTCAACTTCTCCATGACTCAGTTTCTCATCTGTGAAATGGCACTGATGATACTTACACCCCGAAAGGCTGTTTAAAGGATTAAATGAGATAAATTATGTCCAGTTCTTAAAGTCAATGGCTGGTACACATGAAGCCCTTAATAAATGGAAGCTCTTGATACTCATTTAGCTGCATTTTCTTGGGGGCCCCATTATATAGTTGGGGAAACAGAAGTTCAACGAGACTAAATAACTTTCCCATGAGGGCACAGCTAGGAGGTACTGACATTGGAAAGCAAACTCAGGCCTATCAGAATTTAAGGCCCAAGTGTGTTTTCCTGGGGACCACACTGTTTCTCCAGGCTCAAGCTCTCTCACTTATTCTGCTGTCTTATCTCCTCATCTTTTAATATTTTTGTCCTGTCTCTAATTAGACAATAAGTTACTCAAGTGGCTTCTGTTTTTAATCCATTTTCCATAATGTCCAGTATAGGGTCCAGGCAGGTAAGATGCTTAGGAAATAGGAAAATTAGTCCTTATTCCTCTAAAGGAAAAGAAGGCGGTATCATCTGGGTTTACACCCTAGCTCTGGCATTTACTAGCTGTGGGATCTTGGGCATATTCTTTAACTTCTCAATAAATCAATTTCCTCATTTGTAAATGAGTATAGCAGTAATACCCACCTCCTAAAGCTTAAATCCATAGGTTAAATGATTTAAGTTATGTGCTTGCACATGTTAAGTGCTCAGTGAATGAAAGCCCTGTTAAATACATCATTAATACTTCCACTTTTTACTTTCTGTGCCTTCCTTTCCTCATTCATAAAATGAGTGGCCTATCACGAAGGGTCACTGTGAGGATTAAATGAGAAAATGTATCATAGTCCTCAGAAGAGTGTTATCTCATAGTAAAGTCAAATAAACTATCACTCGTTAATATGATAATAAGTGTGATATTGCTTTCAAGATCACAAAACATTGACCACACCTAGAAGCTTTTTGCTCCTCCATCTGCCTACATCCCATACCATCTAGGCCTGGTTCTCTAAGGTTCCAGGCTACAAGCCAATACAGAACCCCCTGCCTCTAGCAAAACCAGCACTGCTCACTTCCTCTAACAGTGGACAAATGCAAACTGTGACCTAAAGAGGCAACTCTGAGAGGACTCTAAAGGCACGACCATCAGAGATATTCATGAGCCAGAGGGCCCTTCTTTACACCCCAGATACCACCTCATAGTGGCCTCCTATTCAAAGGACACACAGGTCAAGATTTCTTACCACAGCAAGTGTCCAACGATCATTGTGATCCTACTCCAACTGGATAATACCTTCTCATTGAACGGTGGTAGGAATATAATTTGGCAGCTTGCTATATAAAATAAGAATAACAATACCTATGAGGATTATTGTTTTCTTTGGCAAATATATTATACTACAGACATAAATCTGATGCCAAGATGCTCTTTATAAATCCACAGACCGTCAATTTAAAGTGAATGTAGATGCGTTTATTTGAAGAGTTATATCAGAATCTGCAATGCTGACAATGTGGGAAAAAGATTCGAGGAATGCCGGAAGAATTTTTTCATAGATCTAAACTCCACATAAAGTATTTCTATCAACTCTATTAACATATGTATTTCCTTTAATCTCAGCTGACTTCAATTCTGAAATATGTGCTCCTGATATGATGCAAATAAGCAAATAATTTTGCTAAAATGCATTTTGTTCTGTGTGTGCTAATTATCCCATTCCAAGGAAATAGGTCCAGGGCTTAAACTATCAACACCTTTATTATTGGAGGTAAACTGACATGTCCCCAAGACTTTCATGCCCTTTATTTTTGGGGTAGATTAAAAATACAATAAAGTTTTCAGAAAGCAATTAAAATCAGTAGGATTTTTACTTTAGGCATAGAACAGCATTAAGCTCATTATGCTTACACTATAGTCGGCTCTATTTATATTTATTATTCTAATCTTTCTCTTAGGACAGAGCACAGTAGTTCTAGTTGAACAATAATACACTCTTTTGTCAAGTAAATGATCATAGCCTTTCAATGTTTCACTGTAATTTCAACAGCTGCAAAGTAGTCATAGTATTATTATTTTTAACACTCTTCCAAACTGCTTGCAGATCTGCACATAAATAGTGACGAAAACTAAATGGCAGAAAAAGGAAACAATGCCTACAGAGATCAATTTTGATATGATAGGATATTTCTAGAAGTTACTTCAACCAAATAAACTCCAAAGTCTGTATGTTCTCAACCTCCCTTCTCTTCACTCCTTTTTCTAGTTTTCAAGGCCTTAGGCATAATGCCTGGTACATAACTAAAGTTCAGTAAATATTTGTTTAATGAGTTTGTGAATGAATGACAGTTTTTTTGTTTCTCATTTGTTATCATCTGCTTGGCCATATATGGTGTCTCACGTGCAATCCAGTTTCATGAATGGCAATCACTCCAATAATTCCTGTAGTGCATGGAATGGTACATAGGCTCTATGAGAAAACCAGATTTTCCATTTTGTTGCCTGCTGTATCCCCATGCCTACATCAGTTTCTGGCATATACTAGGTGCCCAATAAACATTTGTTGAATAAATATTGAATGACACATGTAATTCTAATGCTCTTTTCATAGTGAAACAAAGTAGCAAAACCCATTATTGTTCATTCTTACTCTCCAAGAATATATTAAGGTAAAATTTAATTACATATTAAGGGGGAGTCTTTCATGTTTATTTTATATACATACGTATGTATATATATTTGTAATATACATATTTGAGGGCCTCCACTGTGTCAGGCACTATGATTGATGCAGAGAGGGATTCTGCTCCTGTAACGGTGCTAATGTACCCCCAGCCTAGCACACAACGTGCTGCAATGAGTTTTGGCATTCCCCAGACATCCTCTATGCCATGTCACGTGACATTCTCTCTTTCCTTCAGATCCAGCATTCCACTGGCCAACTCCATGTAGTACAAAGTATTCCTCTTCTCTGAAATATTCCTTCCTCAGTACCCCTTCATCATCAGTCACACAGGCCTCCTTTCCAAACCCCCAGAGCAACTGTCACATGGTGCTAAGCTACATCCATGTCTGTCTCTGCCATCTCTCTGTTTCTTAAGAGACTTTGTGTTACTCACTTTTTAATCTCAAGTGCCTAACACAGTTCTTGGCACAGATCAAGTCCTAAATTGCTGCAAATAGAAAGAATGACAATTAATTTAACAACATACATTCTCATAAACTGAGAGAGTTTAGAAAGAAGCATATAACACACATATCTTATTAATTTTGCTCATAATGAAGGAACCAATTTGGTTATGATTTATTCAATCCACCCAAAATGACCACCCAGAAATTTCAGAGGCAGAAAGCAATGAGCAATGATCTGACAGGCAATCTAATATAAAGTCAGGATTTTAGTAAATTTGTTAGGTATTTGTCCCTGATGTGATTATTTGATGTGACTAGTTATAAACTCACTAAGAAGGAACAAATCAACATTATAGTATTTTGTATGTATAACCATATAGTCATTTATTGCCTATCTGATGCTTATTTTTCAGTAATTATGATCTTGAAATTATCTTCCACAAGAAATGTCAACTGATTGTAATTTATACACACACAGTTATTTTTTTTTCCTCTCAGATAAAAGATATATGAAACACGAAATCTTTTGGTCCTACTTAAGGTGATTATGAAAATGAAATAAGATTTTCATCTTTTCTATTTGTCCAGCCTTTCCATTGACAGCCAGGACATTGGTTTAAAGTTAAGATTCTCCTTGAGAACTGAAGATTGCAATTCCAAATCTGACACCTCTTGGGAAATTATCGAAGGATTATTGTAAGCAAAAGTACAAGCTACAAACGAATATTTTGACAGCTGACATAGTTTCTCATTTTCTTTATTTTATGTTTCTCAGTTATGCCAATGGACACCCATGGAAACAGAGACTCTTCCACTGTTTAAATATACAGACGCTATTTTCAAAATAAAATACTGCAAGTAGTAGGAAGAGGAAGAATTCCATGCAAATAGCACTATTTCCAAAATGGCTATTTTTGCTAAACAGACACAGGCTAGAAAATCAGAATCCATTTTATTTAAACTTAAGGGCTAGACAAGAGTGAAACAGCTCTCAGGCAGCACCAGTTACCTACATGCCACAAAGAGCCTTGTAAGGTATGACCCTCAATGTGCAAATCTGGGCCACCTGAAAAATGAGGCCTCCTTTGCAGGAAGTGAAGTCTCTGTTCCCAGTCACCAGGTAATCTACAGGTAACGTTGACCTTGGCCCCAGGAGAATCCAAGCAAATACAGACTTCTCCAAATCACAGGAAGGCATCAGTAGCAACTAAATAATTTTTACTCTAAATTCCACATTTGGCCCATTTACCTTGCCCTGGATGTAAGTAATCACTTAGGTTCAAATCTGAATTTCTGTAGGGCCCCAAACTTCTAAAAGGCCCTATAGACAAGACAGATGGACAAAATGCGCATGATATTTTTTGGTTTGGATTTTATTTTCCATTATTAAAAAGTACAGTCAATGTTTTCCTGACTAATAAGTAGTTTGGCTCGCAGTCTCCCATCCTTTGTTTAGAAAACTGCACAAAGTCCTAAACTGTAAATAATTATATATGGCCCCAAATAGACATCCTAGTTATTTATGTGGTGGCATGATCCTTGATGGCTAAATAACATCCACAAAAAAGAATGATGATCATGAACACGTACACTGAGTGGTTACTATATGCCAGGCACTTTGCTAGAATCTGTGCCTAAATTGTATTATTTAATACAATGTGCCTCTAAAATAGGTGCTAATAATATTTCCATCATAAAAATGAGAAAACCAAGGGGCCGACCTGGTGGTGCAGCGGTTAAGTTTGCACATTCCAATTTGGTGGCCTGGGGTTCACATGTTTGGATCCTGGGTGCATTCCTGTGCACGACTTTCAAGCCATGCTGTGGCAGGCATCCCGCATATAAAGAAGAGGAAGATGGACATGAATGTTAACTCAGGGCCAGTCTTCCTCAGCAAAAAGAGGAGGATTGGCAGCAGATGTTAGCTCAGGGCTAATCTTCCTCAAAAAAAGAGAGAGAAAATGAAAGCTTGGAAAGACTGAGCAACATATCTGAAACCTTGTAACTATAAGGGGTAGAACCAAGGCACAGACAAAAGTCTTTTGAGCTCTGAAGCCTGTCTATCTAACCACTGTTGTGTGCCAGGCATAACTCAATCAGGTAATAGGATCTACACCAAGGCCATCCTATTCACTAGTATTCTGGGCATAGCGCCTAGAAAAGGTTGTAGACTTCAACTGATTATCGGCTCTAAAGTAGAGAAAGAGAAGCACAAAATCAAGGTTGGTTAATAGTTAATCACAAAACCCAGTATTATTTTCACTCATCAGGTTCAACTAACTTAACTAATGTAGTGACATATATAATCAACATGGATGTAATGCATTTTACTATGTTTTATATGATGAGGGTAAAGCTTTCAAAAATAAAGGAGTCTTAACTGAGATCTTAAAGTATATCTGCTTGTGACTCTAGAATTTTCTTAGTAAAGACTGCTAATAGAGTATTTTTGGTGGTGTCTACTGTTCAACTACAGAGAAATCTGTAAGTTTTCTCTGGGGGTGATAAGAGAAGGATATTTAATAAAGGCACAGAGCGTGATATATATATATGTATATAGATTTCCATATCTATATACATATATATATATATATATATATATACCAAAGGTCTCCATTAGAATATCTTTGTTAACATTTTTAAAGATGAACCTAATTCATGTATTTAAAAACAAACGTGAAAGAATATGTTAATTTTCATATTATGGTGACCATATAATAATCTGTTCTATAGAAAGGATGTTTCAGAAAAAATCATATAATTTGCAATTATATTTTACAAACAAAATCAAAATCCTGTAGTAATGACTTATTTTTCAAGGAATTATATATATCTTTAGGCATACGTTTGTTTTTTCTTAGAACAATGAGAAATAAAAATATCAAACAATTATTCCCTATAAAAATAATTCACATAATTTGCAGTAAAAGTAAAATATTATGAGTTGTGATGACAACAGTTTTATCTAGAACTGACCAAGATAATTAAAAAACCCCATTTTCCACCTGAATCCAAAACAAATATCAAGATAAACATATTTAACATCTGTTTTATCATTAATATTCCTACCATTAATAATAAAAATATAATATTAAAACAGCATTTTACCATTTATAAACCACTTTCAGATACACAAACTTCTTTTAACTACCCTATCTTATAATTTATCCTATCAATTTTCATGCAAAATTTTACAGAAAGTTAAGCTAAAGTCCATTAACCTGTCATTTTTCCACAACATTAAATAAACAACTTAAAATGTGACATGTAAACAATATTGCTTCTATCAAAAACAAAAAACTACTATCCCCTCCCTACCTTCAAGAGTCTGTAGAATGAGACGTGTAGTCAGGGAACCCAGCAGCAGACATAGAATTAAAAGGTCACCTGCGCAATTTTCATCATTAGGTAGTTACAAATGTCTCCTCAATTTTAAAAAAAACATTAATATACAAATGAGAAATGCGGAAAATAGTAGAAATTAAACTTCATTTCTAGGGATATTCAAAGACAACAGAGTTTTTCCTTCCCCTAAGGAAAGATTTGAGTACAATTAAATTATTTTTTTAATAAGCAACATCTTTTGCAAGTTTCATCCAATTTGGGCCAACTTTATTTATTGACTTTTCAAATTACTTTCTTCAACAGAATTCAGTAAGAACAAATTATATATTATAATTTTAAACTTTTTATGTAGTCAGAAAAAATATCTGTCCTGTGAGGTCATCCACAGAGTCTCTAATTTCTGAAAAATATGCACTACCTGATTGCTGAGGATTTAATTATCTGAGCAAATTGACGTAACATCAAATAAAGCACTTGGTCATTAAACAATGCCCTTAAAAAATAAAAAGGCTAAAGAAGTAAGTATGTGTAACAATAAAATTCTTTAATCACCTAGAGGCAAAATCATGCTTCATTCTGACTTGAAGGTATAATGGTGATTGAATCCTCCTCACAAATTAAAGGCATTTTATAATGATGCACAGAGTACTGTGATATTTTATTCTAATGATACAATGCACCTCACTGAAGAGGCCACATCCTATTACATTACTTCTTGCTATACAAACCTTTTCAACAATATATTACACAGTCTTTTCTTAAGTTGTATAACATAACTTTCTAGAGTAACAGAATATAATATTGAAAATAACAGCATAAACGATTCATCTAACCGATTTATCTGACAAACGAAGATACTGAGGCAATGAAAAATTAAGTGGGCTGCCTCATCTCACAGAGAGTATATCCAGTGCTTTTTCTATCCCTGCCCTGTCCTACACAATAGCCACTAGAGGCAGGTGCCATTAGCCACTTGAAACATGGCTGATTGGAAGTGAGATGTGCTATAAATGTAATATTGTGATATAAGAAGAAATATATTTGGGCTTTGTCCCCAGTTCCTGGCACTGAGCTCCTACAACACTTGGGAAATCCTGAGTGATAGGAGTGTCTTTTGTTATTCATAACAAACTCCTTTTGAGCACAGTGGAGTTTATACTAATGAGGTAACTCAGAGTGGCGCCTCTAGACAGCCTCAGGATGGGGGCTGGTCACCAGAAAGACCAAGTGATGAGAGGGTTGGAACTTTCAGCACCACCTGCCGACTCCTAGGAAGGAGAAGGGGTGGAGGCGCTGAAGATTAAGCTCTATAAAAACTCTTGAGATTTGATGAGCTTCCTACTTGGTGAACATGTGAAGGTGCTGGCAGAGTGGTATGCCCAGAGAGGCCATGGAAGTTTCACATCTCTTTCCCCATACCCTGCCCTATGCATCTCTTCCATCTGGCTCTTCCTGAGTTGCAACCTTTTACACTAAATCAGTAAACATAAGTAAATGTTTCCCTGAGTTCTGTGAGCCTTTCCAGCAAATTATCGAACCTGTGGAGGGGACTGTGGGAAACTCCAACTTATGGCTGGCTGGTTAGAAGTACTGGTGACAATCTGTCTTGCAATTGGCATCTGAAGTGGGGACAGGCTTGTGGAACTGAGTCCTTAACCTGTGAGATCGGACACTATTTCCAGGTAGATGGTGTCAGAATTCAGTTAAATTTGTAGGACATTCAGCTGATGTCAGATGAAAATTGGAGAATTGCTTGGTGTGGGAAAAACCCACACACACCTAGTGTCAGAAGTATGGTGAGTAGAGGAGAAACAGAGTTTTTCCCTTCAAAAATACGCACCAGATTTTGATAATTTATTCTGAAAAAGTAACATAAATAATCTCGCTAATATTTTTATATTAATTCTATGTTCAAAAATAATATTTGGGGTATATTATGTCAAAATATATTATTAAAATAAATGTCATCTGTTTTGTTTTACGGACTTTTTAATGTGCCTACTAGAAATTTTAAATTATTTGTGTAGCTCACATTATATTTCTATTTGACAGTACTGTTCTGAACTATTACCTTTTACATTATTTTAGGGATGTCTCTTTGAGATTCCAAGTACATATAGTAATTTATTCTACAAAATTCACATTTTTCATTCATCAACTAAAAAAATTCTTTGTCACTCAAGAATCTGTGTTTACATAATCTAAATACCAATCCAAACAACATATGCCAAACAAGCTTGAGAAATGTTTACAGCTTCATTATCACTGTCCTTCATAAGGAGTGCTTCTCTTTGTTTCATACTCATTAATTTCTCCATTCTAAGATGTTATTCCCTAAACTCCACAGTCATCAAAAATCCATTCTACTCTTGATAAATGCTTGCAAGGCAAGGGGCTAAAAGGAACGAGAGGGTATTGGATTTTCATTGTCACAGGAGAATAATCGAAGACAATTCCAATAACAATAGATTTTTGATTAAACCATGGCAATAGCTAACAACATTTCTCAAAAGGAAAAAATAATCATGTTTATATTACAACTCAAAGTTTAAGCATGTTCTGCCTGAAAGGTGAAAATTGATTAATTTGAAGGTCTTGTGAATACTAAAAATGAAAAAGAAAAAGAAAACTCCTAAAGTACAATGAGTTAGCCTTAACTCAAAGTCGTTTTACCTGATGGACATCAGGGTATCTGAATATGTCCTCACTGAACAATATTTTGCAAGTAAAAACTAATCAATAGGGGCAGGCAAAAACATTCCCCCCAAACTGTTCTTCTGGCCTAAATTCCTAGTACAGTCGAGGCTTCTTCAATAAATGAGTTTATGAAGGCTATGGGTTCTCTGAGGATTGGCAGATAATACTTGTTATGCTATAAATGCTTGGGTTTGGAATTAGAGGGACTCCCTTTACTCCTCCCCATTCAGAAGTGGTTTCCAGACACAAGTAATCCTAAGTAATACTTATAAAGAGTCCCCAGGCATTTCACGGAAGAGTGCTTACTTTTCAACTTTCTAGGGCCTTATGACCAATGAGAGCTTGTGAGGATGAGGGACATATTGAGGTGATGTCAGGGAGCAGATGTTGAAAAGTGTTGCAGTGATTAGTCCTTAGAAATGGAATCATCCTGGATTCCATCAGTCACCAACCATCATGGCAATTCCTCTTCCAGAAATTCACTTCAAAAGCCAAGTGATGTTACTGTTGACATCATGGCGAGGTTGGATTTTTATTTCTGTGATGCCTGTTTTAAGACAAGGAAGAAGGCATGAAGATGTTTTAAAACAGGGAAGGATCTGCCATAGACGGACGTTGTGCCAACCTCTTCCCTGAACCTGAAGACAAATACTCCAAAGGTGGAACTAGATGGTGTTTAAGTTCTTCACAGCCACATTGCCTAAATGGAAGTCTGTGAACCTTCAGAAGATTATGAGGCTGCTCCACAGAGTGCCTTCCACGAAAAGACTTTAATAAAGTCTATTTCCACTTCTACTTTTAATCAAAAATAAAATGTTATTTAACATTTAGACCGAAAACTTCAAGTGCATCTCAGGTGTTTATATATAGAAAATAGTGGAGATCGGAAGAGTATGTTCAAGTCTTCCTTTTTCCTTCACCTGAATACTCCTGGATGCCATGAGGGTTTTGAGAATTATATTGATTTTAATTGTTTATATTAGTCACATATTTTAAAATTTAATTTGATTTAAAAATTTATCCCACAAATGACTACTACTTATGGGCAGGAAACATGAAAAAAACAGTCATAGAATTTTTACAAGTTAATCAAAAGCATAATACAGTAACTCTGAAAATTCCCAAGACAGCAGCATTCCAAGGCTTCTCTAACACATCAAACATCAACGTTTAAATACATATATTTAGTTAGAATTATATCTGTTATTCTTTTTATATACCATGGCAAAGTCTGCACTCAATCTAAAGGTATTATTCTTCAGAGAGATTTTGTAAACAGCATCAGAAAGCCATCTCCCCTATCGCATCATTTAGAAGCAAAACAGGACACATATAAAGTAAATGGTATGTTGTTTCAGTGGAAAACAGAAGAATAATTGAAAGTATTTTTGACCTATCTTTGATGTTAGAAGACCTACTAAAATTCTACCTATATTTTAACATATTTTAGTTCCTAAACCAAACTCCATATGCGATCTTTGAATTTTTCCTTCACAAATCATGCCCTTTCTCATACAAGTCATTCACAGTAAATTAAACAAAGCTGTAAGTAGAAAAATTGAACATTTTCTGTATAAGTATTACTAAGATGTATTAAAATAAATTTTATGATATAATCTTTAATATTATGCCAATCCAAATATTCTTAAATGTTTTTAAAAATGTTTTAAAATCATTGATAAGAATAACCTGGTGGTACTTGCTAAAAAACTACATCAACATAGGCCCCTTCCTGCAGACTATGAGTCAGGGGGAAGGGACTGGGACATTTATATTTTTAACAAGAATACTTTGATAGCTAATCTGATTTAGGAAGAATACAGCCCGTGAATATAGATCAGGGCAATCCCAATAATTCTCAATGCTTTCCCCTGTAGCATGAGATTTATAATCACTAATATACCAGAATGACACAGTGAGTCCCTAAAAACTTGCCCAAACCCCCAAGTGGAAAGTATCATCTAAATAAAAAACAGGGATTCGTTTTATTTATCTTTGAATTCTAGACCTAATACAATGCCGGAGCAAAAGAGATACAGTATCATTGTTTGATGAACGAATAAAAAGAAAATCTAGACTCTATCTAAATTATCCACAATAGATGCAGGGTATGAAACACTATAATACAAAAGGCTTGTTGGATACTGATGAGTTATTCTTGAAACATGTATTCATTCATTCATCCACCAAACAGTGACTGAGAACCTAATTGGGTACTATGGGTATAGCAGTGATCAAGACGACCATTGTCCCTGGATTCTCATCAAGGAGACTGACATCAAACTACTACCTACGCTATTAGTTATTTAACAAAATTATGAGAAGTGGTAGGAAGCAGAATTATAGGATAGTAAAAAGGCATATAACAGGGCAATGATCTAGACTTGGGAAGGTTGAAGTAGTGAAATCTGAGCTGAGCTATGAAATGGAGGCGTGGACAACCTCTAGGTAGAAGCAACAGCATGTGGAATTCCTGAAGCAGAAAACATAGAGTAGATTTAAAAGGCCATTGTGGACAGAATGTGGGGAGATAGAAAGGAGCACTAGCTGAGCCAGTGAGATAGTCAAAGCTAAATCACGTGGGACTTATAATCCATGATATTGCTGAAAATGAACTTTATAAAAGATGCCTTTGATGATTTTAGGAGAAGAAAGCCATTGCTATGATCATATTTGCATTAAAAACAATATATCAGTGCTCCGTGTTGATGTGATTAGACTAGGACAAGGGCAGTTAAAGAGAGACCAGTTAAGAACTGCTGCAGTGCAGGCAGAAGACAATGGTGTGCTGTACTAGCATAGTGTCAATGGGGGAGGAAAAGCGAAAATGACAAGTCCCGGGGTTCATAAATAGAGTTATTTCCCCTGAGCTTCCACCATTCTTATTAGTAGATGATGGTCATATTATTTATTACTTGTAATACTCTCTTTATGGCTAAAGGATGTCATAACTGTGGCAGGTCATTTAATTTCTTAGGGATAAGAAAAACACACATTTTAAGGTATGAAAGTGTTGACACTTGGAAAGTAGTAATAGAATCTTTATATCACCTTTAGTGCAATTAATCAAAAGCACTAGTACGTCCGACAGCAACGAAGCACTGAAGAAACTATAAACCATATTTCTAAAGATATATAAAGACTGGTTGGAGACATAAATGAAAACTCAGTGTAGGATAAAACTATGAAAAAGGACTCATAACTGGAGCCACAGACATGCAAATTTAATTCCAACATTGAGAACTATTCAACAAAATTGTCAGGAGATTAGCTTGAATCTGCTTTGGGAGAATGTGATAAGGGTATACTCTGAGACAACCTGGTATATGTAAAGACCAATTACTTACTACAGATATTACAGGCCGATTCCTTGCTTCTAAAAAGATTCTTTGGTTAGCTCATCTTCACTAGCACTTATAAAAGTTTTTAAATTATAAGTGATTTTTCAGAGATTAATCTATCACATAGAGTGAAGTGTGCTTATATTTGTTAATAACATCTGCAGCTTTAAATGAAATAAAATCTGTTCTCATAATTCTAGTTCTTTCCAGTAAAAGAACAATGGCATATATAGGAAGAGATAGTAGTAACTTTCTTTTTCTCACTTATCAAAGATTTTTAATTCCCTCACAAAAAGCATACTCATAAGAATAATGAAGTCTGAGTTTCATTAGACTAGAAGTTCCTCAAGTCTGGGGATTGTGTTTTCTTCCTTTTTACATCAACCTAATGTAGTACATATCCTGGTTCAAGTACAATTCTTTATTTTTAACTGAAGGAAAGGATTATAGATGTGTGTGTGTATGTATACATTGTATCCTACAATGTTTATCCTACAATGTATACATACACACACACACGTGTGTGTGTGTGTGTGCAAGCACGCGCGTGTGTACACTTACTCCCTGAGACCATGCTAGGGTCTGAGGGAATAGTGATTACAATACTACTTTACAGTATTTGGTATTGTGTACTATTTTTACATAGTGAAATAATACTATTTTTGTTAGTATAATAATATTGTTTTGGTATATTAATATATATCAAATATGAAACACTGTATCTACAGACACACTCAGACATTTACATGCCACATTACAATTTTGAATCTAACAAAGGATGTTTCAAAAGCATCCTTTCTACTTCCATAGTCTCCAAAGAGAGGAAGAAAATGCCAATTCAGAAAGCAATGCTTCTATATTAAGAATAACCTTTTATTTGATTTAATAATTTGCTACACAAGCTGAATAGGAACATGAGAAGCTAAAATAAAATATAACAGAATCTCTAAAAATACTAGAGGAAACAAAAGAATATTAAGGTGATCAGAAATGCATTTTTTAATTAGAAAACTACATTGCTATAGCCTCAGCTTGTTATAAAAACTATTGTAGTTCTATCCACAGCACCTACTTCCCCCCCAAAAAAGAACCTAAAGATCACCTCAAACAGGAGTTGGGCTTATTTTCTAAAGAATCACAGATGAGGAAAATACTAAGAGTCAGCTTGTAACTATCTTTTCACCATTCTCTAAACTTGTTTAGAGTTATAAAAAGTTTTTCCAGCAGCTGGAAAACTTCACACAAAAAGGCACTTGTGATTCTGCAATGACATCGTCATGATGGACTTTGTATTTAAGGTTGAATTTTTGAAGAAATGATGAAATAATATTTAAGTTTTCCATGGTCAAAATTTCTTCATTTTAATAGACTTTAACTCATTAATGAGTGACAATTTATTCTACCTGCTACTAAACTATAATAAAATAATAATGTATATCGCACATTTATCTTTTATAATTTTACATTTTAATTGGTATTTGGTAAGGTTTATAGCTCTTCTGTTTGAAATGTACCATCTACTTCGTTTAATTCTTTTTTTAAAAATTTTATATATTCACAAAAGACTTTTTGATGACATTTCAGTATTAATATGTGGAATATATACTAAATATCAGTACTGTTTTTCTTTCTGGTGTTAAAATCATCAGTGGGAAAGTTAGCAATTGAGATGTAGGTTCTTGTCCTTAAGGGCCTTGAAGTCTGCCACTCCTAGTCAATACGAATATCAGAAGTAGGGGTCGGGTATACTACAGTCAGATTCACATTTCACATCAATTTTTAAATCATTTAATAGCCATAATAGAGACAACATACATCAAGACAAAATTACAGTAGAGACAAAGGAAAGAAAATGACAGAACAAGAATTGGATTCAAATCCCCAGTTCTGACTTTTAATAACTGCATTTCATGGAGATGTCATGTAACCTCCATGAGCTTCAAATTTTCAAACTCCCTAAATTTTAAATTTGGACGAGAGCATCTACCCTTCCATTTATCAGGATTAAACTAATTGCCACAGGTAAGTACTTAACATAGTGCCTGATACGCGGTCAGCACTGAGTAAACTGAGTACTGCTTTTCAACTGTAACGCCAAACAAGAGACAGAGAGGAAGGGCTAGAATTTCTTAAAATACGGCATCTGAAATGACACACACTTGGGGGAATGAAAGCAAAGACCTGAAATGTAAACAGCGAATAACGGTTTCTTTCTCAAATCTCAAATGTATGTAAGTAATACCAAAAAGTGTATAAAATGTTGGTGCCTCATTTTACACAACGTAAACTGGGTCCCAGAAATGCAATAGGTTCTCTTGAGGCACAGAGTGAGGCAGCAACCAAGCTGGGAATGGAAATAAGATCCTCTGAATCCTAAACCCAAACATCCTATCAAACTGCTTCTTTTTGCCAAATTAAAAAAACGCATGCTGAGCAGGAACTTAATTCACCAAATTATCATTTTATTTATTCCACAAATATTTGAGCAGCAGGAGTAGAAAGGACTGAGTAAGAGGCAGACAAGTGGTTTCTGCATTACAGAATCACAATAAGACAAATGGTAAATAACATGTTAGAAAAATCTTTATCCTCATTAGCAATCAATGAGACATAATTTAAATTAAGTCATGTCATTTTAGGCCAATCAGGGGTTAGCTAAGCAGAGCAAGCTCACTGGTATTACAGAACTGCTTAGAACTGCTTATTTATATTCTCATGTCACAAAGAAAGGTGAGTAGTATATATTTTTTATATAATCTCAACATGGGAGAATTATGCAGTCAGAAATTAGGGCTCTTCTGGCATACTCTTTAAAAATCCAGTCATCAAAATAAAGGACCAAGACATGGGCAATTTAACGAGAATCCTAACATGGCCCCCAAGGTTCCTGTCCTCTGGTGTACAGGCTCTGTCTCCTCCTCCGCTTGGGTGTGAACAGGGTCAGAGAATAGAATGGGAGATCACTCCCATGATTAAGTTACTAATCAATTGATTTTGAGGTCATCAAAAGGGAGATTAATTTCTTTTGGCGTCGGCCTGACCTAATGAGTTGATCTCTTTTATAGAAGGTATAACGTTAGAGAGACATTTTCCCGCTGTCCTAAAGAAAGCCAACAGCCATGTGGTGAACTGCCCATGGAGGGTGCCATGGGGCAGCAATACAAGGCAGCCTCTTGGAGCCCCACAGACCCACCCTGGAGAGCCAGCAGGAAAATAGAGACCTCGGTTCCACAACTACAAGGAAATGAATTCTGCCAACAATTTGAAAGAGCATGGAAGTGGATCTTTTCCTAGTTAAACCACCACATGAAGGTGCACATAAACTGACACCTTGATTTCAGACTCATAAGACCCTGAGCCGAGGATGTGCCAGATCCATGGAAAATGTGAGCTACTAAATGTGTGCTCCTTTAAGCAGCTAACTATGGTAATTTGTTATGAAGCAGTAAAAAAACTAATGTAGAAAGAGACCAAGTCTTTATACTTTGTATATTCTCCAAGACACAAAACACAGTGGTAGGTATCTGGATACTTAACATATTCTTGATTGGATCATATTAACTAGAAATGGAATACTTGGTTCAGCATAGTGTCAGTGAACTGCCAGAAAAAAATCCTGTTGTCACTTATGTTTGGGTAGAGTCCTGCAGTATTTAACCCTGTGAGATATACGTGGCATGGACTACTATCCCCATTTCATAGATAAGGAAACAGAATCCATAAGAGTTAAAGTTCCAGTGGTGGTATTATTACTAACTCATTTTCTTTCTACTATGCTATTGTCTATGTTTCAACCATTTCCTTTAGGAATTCCCTGGACATTTAGGGCAGACGGGGCACACTGAACTCTCTTAGGAACCTAAGGTGCCTTACAAAGCAAGAATGAGGGTTACTGCCCTGTTTACCTTGTTGCACCCTTGATTTCCTCCGGGAACACTGTCAAGCACGTGTCACATGCTAAATATTGTTTGTCAGCTGATTTAATGCAGGCAACTCTGGACACAGAGTTTATCATACTTATATTCTAAGAAAAATAATATTCATAACAATTTTAACTATTAATGAAGTTCCTATAACATCATATATTCTTTATACACTTTTACTATAATCCTCACAATAAGCAGGCAAGGAAGTTTTCATTCTTAAAAATAAGGAAACTGATTTTTAGAAGGATTAAGTGATGTGATGAAAAATTTGATGAAGGTCACACAGTGAGCTATTAAATGATAGATACAGACACAAATTCAGTTCTGTCTAAAGCTGGTTTTATTTCCATGATTTCATGTTACTGTGCTAACGAGAATTTCAGTCCAGAAAAACGACAAAGAATACCAATAATACCAGAGCTTCAAACCAGATAATCTCTTGTTCTTATGGGCTATACTACAAAATATAACTCCTTGAATCTATCCATGTCACACACATTATTTGACAATTTAAAATGCTCTTATATGTAATATTATCTTGTTCAGTAATTGCTTAATGCATTCATGTAATATCATTGAAATAAAATTCCTGCTCTGGCCAGGGAAATATATGCTTATTATTAAAATTCATGAAATGTGCAAGTCCTATATACAAATTCACATACATTGTGATACACTTAATAGCACTTTTGTAATAAACTACGCCTTCTATAGTACATAAAGAAGTGAAAAATAGGGGCCAGCCCTGTGGCTGAGTGGTTAAGTTCGCACACTGTACTTCAGTGGCCCAGGGTTTTGCTGATTTGGATCCTGGGCGCAGACATGGCACGGCTCATCAGGCAATGCTCAGGAGGCGTCCCACATGCCTCAACTGAAATATACAACTATGTACTGGGGTAATTTGGGGAGAAAAGGAGGAAAAAAAAAAGATTGGCAACAGTTGTTAGCTCAGGTGCCAATCTTTAAAAAAAAAAGAAAAATAATACTTTTGTACTCTGAATTCAACATGGTTTCTCCATTCTGTACTATGAATTGCATAAATTTAGGAAAGCTCTTATTAAGCAATGTCTTTCAGAATTTTAGTCAAGGCTTTAAATAAGTCATCTTGGAATGCATCTCAGGTCTTCTTTACCTATTTCCTCCAGAATATAAACAGCTATCAGTTTCTCAGGCACTTAAAGGACCAAAATCCTTGGATTTTTACATTTTTTTTTTGTAAAACAAGTCAAACTGTTAAAATCTTACAAAGTTTGACTATACAGCTATTACTTTCTATTTAGAAGAACGTTAATTCTCAAACTAAATAAGAACCTTTATCCAAGGATGACTGCACCTTTCTCCTGTTTTTTGGCAATCTTCATTTGCCAATAGTCTCTCTCAAGCATCCAGCTTTACAGAAATCTAAATCATTGCAGTATTTCTCTTGATGTTGCATCAAATCCACAATGACTCTTTGAATGAGTCAAATAACCTTTAGCTCTCTTTTTCACCCTTTTCCTTATGGCCTGCTACTCTAGCCACCTGAAAATTAAAAAATAAAATACTGAGGGAGTATTCTATGATTGAAAAGATAAATCCTTTTAAAAAGGAAAACACTCATAGGCAGCTGCAAGCAAAATCACTGAAGTGTTTGTGGTAACACACAGCACCTGAGAACCATAAAGGCTCAGGGAAGGCCCTGCAAAACTAAATATGTTTGCCTGTTTCCACATCATTAGACAAGGAATTCTTACTCCTATTCCAATAGTCATTGCTGCAACAGCCACAAAGCATCCAGGCATTCATTTATCAACTGCCTTATTTCATTGCTTAATTGGGAGAAAACACACCTGCAAAGATGATCTTGACATAACATAAACAAGAGATGCTTCTCAGACTGGAAGCAAACGTTAAATAAGGAATTAGTAATTGGAAGATTAGGCAACTAGAATGTAGAAACTTTCCACTTGTTTAGTTATAAAAGTAAGCATCTTCTAAGAGATTAAAATAAATAAGGTTGGGCTTAAAAACAATCCACTTGTGGATTCAGGAAGTATCAGTCCCTGGCCTAAAGTAAATAAAGCAACCTGCCTCCAAAGATTGTATAATTTACAAGGATTCAATAAGTTCTCAATAATGTACACTAACACTAAGGAGTAAATGTGTTACCAATTAAAAGCATCTTTCTATTTGGCCACAAATGCATTGCATTACAGATTAGTAGCTATGCTAATTATACATTACTTAGGCAAATATTAAAATTACACTGTATTCCCTAGGCAGACATCAGCTGACAGGAAGTGGGGGCTTTAGAAGTATGCACAGAGGCAAAGGGAATCATCCTAGAATTAATGAACACATGGATAATTAAGAGTTAATTACATGAGTCTGGCTACAGGAAGATACTTGAATTCCTGTCAATTTATTGAAGCAGGCACCAACACTGTGTTTTGGGGGTTAGCCAGGAAATGAAGCAGGTGACAGGAATAAATGCAAACGGGCAGAATGTGTGATTGCAAAGCCTGTTTATGAAAAAGAATTTTTGTGAGCCTAATTATTTGCCAAGCTGTACTGTGCAGTTAGTCTAACTCCTTCTTTGCTATCTTTGACTTAGATGAAATTTACTTGCATAATGGGTAGAACCACCTTACTAAAATATATAACATTATTCTATTTCACTTTCATTCCGGGTATAAAATTGAATGGAAATACACATATTTATATATCAACCGTTAGTGTAGACTGGGTCTACATATAAGCTTTTTCTGCTCCTTTTGCTTGTGAGTGATTTTTTAAAGTCTGGTGAATAAACAGCTATTGCATAAAGTGCTTAACTAAATCAATTTATTTCTACCTGCGCAATTTCAGAAGCTCAATTACGTATTTCTTCTGTGGAAGTGCCCACAGCAGTCTTTCTTCTTCAGAAGGCAGACTGTTTCAGTGACTGGCCATTATAGTGAAAATTCTTATTACACCTAAAGCTTTCTATGTATTCCAACTCTCTCCACTTTATCTGAGAAGAGAAAATAATTTGCAAGACAAATGCAATGTATATTTATAAAATCTCTTATACTTTCCTAAATCTTCACTCAAACTGAATGATATCTGATTCTCGAAACTTTGGGAGGCAGATGAATTACGTGTATATGAGGAGGGTGACATGGGTATAGAAGATTCCAGGCATCTACAATTTAATATTTGCGATGTTTAAAAGCCCCTGGCCACTTAAAAGTCCACAAACACATGAATAATTAGTCTGACTTTCATGTAGTAGAAAGTATTAAAGGTGGAAACGGGAGGGAAGTGAGTCACTGAGCTGCGTGAGCTCACTTTTCTATACCTTTTGCAATACAGAGTTAATGCAGAAATTTCTAAATTTGAGAGGCATTAGTAGAGCTGGTCATGTGTAAAGGAGCTTGGACATCCAAGGCACCAATGGCAATAATCTACGGGAGTTAGAGAAAAGGCTGCTAACAGTAGGCTACACTGCAGCCTCTTCCATATATAGAGGTCTATCAGGAAGCCCATTCTCCATTCTAGATGCGAAGATACTTCCTATCAAAGAGAAATGGAGGATGTAGACCATTAGACACCCTACCGAGGAAAACAAACGCAGCAGTGACTTAAAATAACCACAACAGACCTTAATTCTCATTGGAAGAATCAAGCATGGTTTAAAGTGCTTGTATCTGCAAAATATGTGCATTTGAAAGTGTTTGAGGAAAGCGGGTACTTTAGAAATACTTAAAAGTGTAATTAGCCTCTCACGTAATTGGCCCTTCTGGGAAATTTGTATACATAGGTTACTATAAATGTTCAAAATAATATCTTAATATTTTTGTAAATGACAGGTATTATCCCTGACATAACTAATGTTTTCTTAGATGCCTATACGACTACAGTTTTAATAGTAGAAACGTGACCACAATTAGTGGCCCCTAATATTTCGTTTGAAATCAATAAGCTACTATCAATCCATCATACAAATGTCAAGCAAATGTTTGCATACTGATTCTTTTCTACAATATCATAGATGAAAAAGGAGTCCTATTTAAAAGAACTTTACAAATATTTAAAAGTTACTTTAAGAATGATTCTTTTAAAAAAAATCACCAATATGAATTTTTTAAATACAATTTCCTTCCAAAATAGAATGCACTCCAGCCAACATAACCTGTTCTGTGTTTTGTCCACTCAAAGCCACCAGCAGCATGAATCCTCAGTCACTGTACCATGTTTTGATTTAATATTGCCCTCTGCCTCTTCCAAGTTGAGCTGAGTCTCTCCTTCACTGAGTGACAGGGTGCTGTCCTACTCTGGCAGCTCATGATTATGCCTCTGCCTGATGCTCAGTTCTTCGAATACTTGTGGTCTTTCAACAACTCCCTTTTCCACTCACCACTTCGAACTTCCTGTCCATTAAAATCCAGGCAGAAGCTAAGTTTATATGAAAAAACCCAAAAGCATATCCATTCAGAAAGAATAATTTTTGACGTATTCCTAAATTAAAAAGTTTTGAAATTAGAACCTTTATATATACCTAATTTCCTCTTCTGCAAAGTAACATGCATAGCTTCTACAACAACTATTTTCTCCACAGCTTAACAGATTAATTTTTTCATGTGTACCTTATATTCTTGAATATTCTACCTATGGCAGAATGACTAGATATTCAAGCATCTAATAATGGAAAAGAGAAATTTTTGTGAGTTGGATGGTATAAGGGCATAAAACCTAACTTTAACATCCCATGAGTATCCATTAATATCAGACTTATATACACAGATGCATTTGTATAACATGTTTTCTGATCTTTTAAAATAAAGTCAATTTACTTAATATAACAATATTGATTATTTTTGTTTCTTTTAGATACTTTTAGATCTTTTAGATTCATACATATTTATATGTATATATATAACATGAATGACATTTTTAAAACTCATATCTAAATTTTTTATCTTTTAAAATCTCATAGAAAATCAAATTTAAAATATATCCCTTCTTGCAAAGTGGGATTTGACTAATTGCCTCCTTAACTTTAAAAGAAAATATGCTCAATTATTTCTACGCATTGCTTGGAATAATTGAAGAAGCTTCAAACATTCTACTCCAGCAGCTCTCAAAGTGTGATCCTGGGACCAGCAGCATTACCATCACTTGTGAACTTGCTGGAAATGCAAATTCCTGGGCCCCGCCTAGGACCTACTGAATCAGAAACTCTAGAGGTTGGTCCCAGCAATCTGTGTTTTAGGAGCCTTCCAGGTGATTCCAATGCATGCTGAAGTTTGAGACCTGCTCTACACAATCAATGAATAATAGAAGAATAATTAAAGAAGAATCCATGTGGCCACTACTACTGGTCCCAATTCGTATGATTTCTGGCCACATCCTATCAAGAGCAGCAACCCCAATCAATTTACTCCAAAAGTTGTTTCACATGTTATTTTATCTGTTGATTACATGATAATATAGTGAACAGAGTTATGTGAACTTTTGGTACATTCATAATTTACAAGCAATTACAAAATATCCAAGTGATGATTGCAAAAACATGTTGGAAAATGCTACCCCTTTCTAAGTTAATAACCCCACTTCCACAGCTTCTATACCCACAGGAATATAATTAAATATTTTCCTTATTCTTCTCAGTGACAAATACTATGTAATAAATAGGGTTTATATCAAAGGGGCCCCTACCATTAGAAGCTGATGAAGAAAACACACTTGTACAGTACTTACTCTGTACCAGGAGTTGTTCTATGACATGTCCATGTATTGACCCATTTAATACTCACAGAAACCCTCGGAGGTA